CTCCATGGAAACTTTCAGAGAATCCACAAATAGTGGCTTTCAAATGGTTTTGTTACTTTTTGCAAGTTTATAAAAGAAGCAGATGAGACAGCATGTCTGATAATTTAGTTTTTCATCTGATAATATTAGAACATGTCAGTAATGTCTGAGGGGCTTTTATAAACACCGTATAACTAACACTACTGGAGAGGGCATGAATTACACAGAGGCTTCTGGGGAGCCCAGTTATTGGGGGGGGGGGGGGGGGGGGGGCATTTTGCCTTGGCCCCCAAAATGTCTTGAAACAGCCCTGGGTGTGTGACTGAGTTTTGAAGGTGATCTGAATTGTATCAGATGTATAAATATTACATGTGTATAACTTGTTTTTTACTGGTAAAAACGTGTAGTGGAGATAAATCTACCTACATTTGACTTTTCAACACTTTGTTTTGTTTTCTTGTTTTTATTTAACTATTTTCCTGTCCTGTCTGTCTCTCATCTTCCTGCATCTCCTCTTAATTCTCCAGAAAATCTGTTGCCTGGATTCTTACCTTTTCACCTCATCAGTTACTTTTGAGCAGATCAAAGGGATCTCCTGACCGAAAAGCGCAGAGCGCGTTTTCGATGCTGCATGAGGTGACATCACCACAGCACAGGTGATGAGCTCCGCAGTAGAGCGCTTCAGGCACAAATAAGACAGAAAATAGAGAACATGTGCGGACATGAACGATCGTGTGCTAATTATAGTTTTTTGGTTGCGCCACTTTGAGAATGGACCATGCGCTGGAAGAAGCTGCCTGGATCGCTGCGCGACAATGCGGAACCGGTTCGCAGCAGCGCAAGTCTCCCGGCTCTCCCTCGCGCTGATCTGCCGGTACCGGCTCTCCCTCACGCTGATCTGCGTCTCTCCCTCGCGCTGATCTGCCGGCTCTCCCTCGCGCTGATCTGCCGGCTCTCCCCGCGCTGATCTGCCGGCTCTCCCCGCGCTGATCTGCCGGCTCTCCCTCGCGCTGATCTGCGGCTCTCCCTAGCGCTGATCTGTGGCTCTCCCTCGCGCTGATCTGTGGCTCTCCCTCGCGCTGATCTGTGGCTCTCCCTCGCGCTGATCTGACTTGCTCTGGTCTGCGCGCAACGGCGGGCGGGAAGGGGGGGGGGGGGGGGGGGCGCTTTTGGAAAAGTTGTGCGACACAACGAATCGATGACGCAATTCGTTGCCAACGCTTTTAGTAATCGATTTTCATCGAATTTATCGATTCGTTGTTGCAGCCCTAGTTTACATAAGTGATTTTGCATAATCCAACCCTATTACGACCCACATTCCGCCGTGGGATGTCTTATGTACGCAGACAAAAGACTGGATTACAACCTCCCTCCGTTCGCCTCTCCTCTCTCAGATTACTATCCGCTTACCGTGGCTACACATCACCACTTCTCCCCCAGTGCCGCAGGCATGCTGCCAAGCCAGTATACATTTCACATACATGTTCAGTAAACCCAAAACGAGCGGGGTGCGCAGTCCGGGACTCGCTGCGAAAACATCTCAATGCACTTCCATGTAGACAGAACTAAACAGCCCACCTGCCGGCAACTGCAAAAAGGGTTGTGTCTGTGCCAAACTGCGGTTGGCTGCTTTAACGCAGCGCTTTGAGGCAATCGGAGTCCAGGACAAGGTCCAGCAGCTCTCGGACCAGCTTCTCAGCCGGGGCATGAAACGTCTTTCATGCGTGGATTCACTTCCATCACTTCCAGCGTAAAATCACTGTCGTCCAGTTGTTAGGAAAAAGGTGCAATTAATTTTTACTCACCCAGCGTGCTATTCAGCTGGCCGTCTGCTCTCCGGAGCTTTTCCACCAGAGCTGATCCATCGTCTCCCGTCTTTTTCCGGTCATCAACCAAACTTTCTCACACACTCAAGAGGTTCGCACACACATACGGCCGCAACAGGCCCACCTCAATCAACTTAAACCACACTGCCAGTGGTTAAAGAAACAGATGCAAATTAATGAATTAACTTACTCTCCTCCGCATTATAAATTCGTCCTGAGTTCCGAGCGCGAGAGCCTGTTGATGAAAGTTTGTCTGCAGAGCTATGTAGCCGGCCGACGGGACAGTTTGCAGCCCCCCAGACTTTTGATGAAGAAGTGGCGCCACGCGGCTCCCTGGAGACAATCTTTCACCGCTAGGCTCTGCCTTCCCCGTACGGGCCACCATTTGATAGGTAATTAGATTTATCCCATATTACCTTAAAGGACGACACAGAGAGAGAGAGAGAGAGAGAGAGAGAGAGATTATTTGTAATGTCCATGTGGGCGAATCAACATGCGAGAAGCTGGACTCAACCAACCAGCCCCCACTCTGCTCCAGCCTCAAAGCCTTCACCTCACCAGCTCTGCATACCCGTGGTCTCCATCAGGAGACCAGAATGTTAGGTAATATTTAATCTCCATAACCCTGGAACCTGAAATAACACACATGACAACAATGAAGACATTTTACCCTGAGTCCCCAAAACATGGAGAGTTAACACAGAGAAACCTCCTCCGAGGCTTCTCCATGTCACTCCCGTGTGCTCCTAGTTTGTCAGGGCTTTATTCACAATGGATGGAGGAGAAGGCGGGCCTTCTCAGGTTACAGAGGTACAGTTTTCAGTTGGAAACCCACAATCAACATCCTTGCTCAACCTTTCATGAACAGCAACAGTTGGCAAAAACAGAGATTCATGAAGTGTTAATAACACAAAATGGGCATCTTTTAGGCCTCAAAAAGGTACAATTATAAAAATACCCAACATCATTCTTGAGATATTTCTTGGCCCAGTCTTGACGTTTCAGCTTGTGTGTCTTGTTCAGTGGTGGTCGTCTTTCAGCCTTTCTTACCTTGGCCATGTCTCTGAGTTATTGCACACCTTGTGCTTTTGGGCACTCCAGTGATGTTGCAGCTCTGAAATTTGGCCAAACTGGTGGCAAGTGGCATCTTGGCAGCTGCACGCTTGACTGATCCATATCGGCTTTAAATGACAGTCGTCTTGTTTTTGCTCAGATAAGTAGGGAGTTGTGCTATTTTGTAGGGATGCACCGATGGATCGGCATTTGATCGTAATCGTCCGATAGCGCCTCTATCGGTTTTGATCGGAATTTTCAAAATAGATCAAAGCAAACCGATCAGGTAGGGTTGTCACAGTAACCAGTGTAGCGGTAAACCCCGCTAAAAAAAAGTTGACAATAATAATAACCGTCTTGTTTTTAAAAAAAAAAATATTATCTTGGTGGGTTTACCGTGGCTCCGGTGTAGGCGCGGTGACCCTTACCAGCCACCGTATCATTGGCTGAAGTTGCCGGCGGCACATGCACGCTTTGCTGTTTACAACCAAAACTTTCTTGAAGCTAAAGCTGAAATAATGGTCAAAGGAGGAGACGGCAGCGCTCAGGAGGACATTTATTGTCCCTCAAAGAAGACAAAGTCGGAAGTACGGGCATATTTTAGATATTTGAAGAATGCCGAGGGAGTTTATAGAAGACGGACGGCTATCCTGTTTGCAGCACGAGCAGAAAAAGTGTCTGTGAAAGGCAGCAATGCTTCAAATCTCATGACACATCTGCTTGACCATCACCCACAACTCTGCAGTCAACGCAAGGCAAGCTAACGTTGGCCTTTTAGCTAAAATGCGTGATCCGAGGATTTGGGTTGAGGGAGAAAGCAACAGGAATTGTTGTATGTGGTCTGGATTGGTTTAGATCGTATCTCCACAACAGGACATTCTGTGTTAAACTGGGTGATGTTTTTACTTCTTGGGAGGGGCTCCGCTGGGGGGTCCCGCAGGGATCGATCCTTGGTCCTCTTTTGTTTGCAATTCATCTGCTTCCTCTGGGGTCAATCTTTTGTAAACATTGCCTATCGTTCCATCTCTATGCTGACAATTGCCAGATTTACTCTCCAGTGTGTCAGGAGAAAAGTCACTCTATCCAGTCCTTTGTCAGTGCGTTTACATGCAGCCAGTAACCCTTTTAAAACCCGAATATTCACAATAACCCGGTTCCGCACGGCCATGTAAACACCGCCAAAAACCCGGATATGCTCATAACCGGGTTTTTAAAAACCCGGTTACTACACCTGGGGTAACCCTTTTCTAACCCGAATGTTTGGTCGTGTAAACGCATATCGGGATATCCCCATCAAAGCGTGTGTTCTGCGCATGCTCTATTCACGAGGAATCTTGTTCTTTTGAGTAGCGAGACGTCTTGTATGCGCCAGAACACCGGAAGTAAACAACAAGTTGGGAGCAACATGGCAAGTTGCGGCACAGCACCACACTTTTGGAGTGACGAGGAAACTAAAGCGCAAACAAACGCGGTCGCTATATCTTCCGAACTGGGAAACATGTTGTTGTTTTCACGGATACCGGAACAAGAAGAACCAGAAATGACGCATTTTGCGTCTGGACGTTGTCTATACGTCCTGACGCTACCCCAACGTCCGCATTTAAATCGGGTTATGCAAGTTAGGGGTAACTCTTTGTATTTGTGGCGAGTGGGGCCACTTATCAATTTAGAAATACAACGCCACCTGATTATCAGGAACCAAAACGACTGAAACTAAAGGCACATTAGTTCATTTTTACAAATCAAGCTTGAGACGGAGTTCCATTCCACAAAATCAAGGATTTTATTAAAACAATAAATTGAGTTTAAAATAATGTACTAAAAACACCATGCACCTTCAGATCAACACAGACTAAAACCAAATCAACTTAGGCTGAGGCTGACTAATGGGACTGCCTAAGAGAGCCCAGAACTAAATACCAACCACAAGTAATTTCACCCCAATCACACGTGCATGCATTCGGGGGGTGAAGTGACTCTGGAGCACACGCACACCATCAGATGGGACCACCACCAGGGCTCGACCACCACTGTCAGCTCACAGCCTAAATGAAAAGAAAACAGAAAGCACGGTAAAAATCCAAATCCACACACACATACACACACACACACACACACACACACACACACTAAAACACAGCCATGACTGAGCAGGCAGGCCGTCAGGGAATGAGCGAGCATACAGCTCGCCTGCACACGAGTCTATTAGCCTGCGCCTCAGCCGTCCTTATGAGCTCCCGGGCCGACGACAACTGCCGGTAGGGCCCGCAGCCCCTCGTTGAAATATCCAAACCCACAGCGGGTGTACGCCCTCCGCTGGTATTCAGTACAGAGGAGCGAGTGACAAAAGCCGCTCCCGATGGTCTCCGCTGATCCCGTCAACCAGTCCGAGCAGCAGGTTGGAGAGGCCTTGGAACCGGATGATGGTCCAGCACCGGGTCAACAACCGGTAAACAGAGATCCCATGAAACTGTGCAGAAAAGCAGCAGAACAGCAGAACAACAGAGTCTCCTGTGGAGACACACCCCTTCCTGGATCTGGAAGACAAATTAATTAGTATTATCCTAAAGCCACAGCTAAGTGGAGAGCAGCGCAGATGTACATACCACTTCTTTGAAGCACATAGGATAAAAGAGAAGCCTTCCATTACTCTGGGAGGACCACATACAACAATTCCTGTGGCAGGAGCAACCAATAAACACCAGACTCCATGCAACTACTGCAGCGTTTTTAAATAGTACTCACAGTCCGACACGCCGGAGTCCCGTACACAATGGCACTTCACACAGAAAGCGGAAGTTAAGCCAAAGTAAAAGATTGCTGTAGCGCCACCTCAGGCCCTATTTATATGAGCGCCTTCCCTCAATGATAGGTCGTCCAATTACTTGGTGGCAGGTGACTCATCCCACTACATATTTATGCTTGTAAACAGGTTATTCTGATCACCTCAGAAACCCGAATACCGACCTTAACCCGATCATAACCCGGATATTGGCTGCATGTAAACGTAGTCTGTTGCCAGAGGTGGAAAGAGTTCTAAAATGTTGTACTTAAGTACAAGTATAATTACTTTCATGAAATTTTACTCAATTACAAGTAAAATTACCTGCCTCAAAATGTACTCAAGTAAAAGTAAAAAGTAGCTTATTTCAAATTTAGTCAGAGTAAAAGTTACTTAGTTACTTTTTTCACTGTGCAAGGACGGGCTGTTCGGAATAGTTAAAAAAAGACAATGGGGTATAAATGTCAAAGTGGCCGTTTTTTTAATTAAATGAACAAATATGCATATTGAAGTACAAAGGCAGTTACACTGCAAACTAGAGCTGAAACGATTCCTCGAGTACCTCGAATAATTCGAGTACAAAAAATCCTCGAGTCAAATTCTCTGCCTCGAGGATTCGTTTAATTCATGTTTAATTAATTCATGGCTTTGCAATCGCCCGGGGTCATGTTTCACCCGGACCGAAATAAGTGACGCACGTGCCCACTGGACTGAATGCACACGCGAGTAGCGAATAAAACTTTACTTTCTCTTAAGCCATGGCGGACAACGTGGACTCCGGTGGAGTGCGAAAAAGACAGGACATTTCAAAGGTGTGGGACCATTTTTCACGTCGTAAGGTGGAAGACGTACTCCAGTATAAATACAGTAAAATGGATTTAACCTACCACAACACCACATCCTCCGTGCTGCAGCACATGTAAATGTCACTTCTGCAAGCGGACTCGGAGCCTCTACAAGATAATGCATTTTAGCCTGTATTTCTATATATTCTGCGGACACTGCGACTTTTTCGTTTGTAGCACTCAGTTTCAGCTCACACCGTACATCTGGTAGCAACACGTCGAACTTAAAATGTGCTAAAAATAGCAGTTTTACACAACACGTCGGACTTTTTATTGTGTTATTGATGTCCGTTGTCCCTCGGGGTGGCGGAGGAAAACGAAAGAAAGTAAATAAATGTTTTGTGATCAGTATAATTTGACATAACCACAGCAAACATGCTTTTGGCAATCCTTGTTAGTGTGAGAAAAAAAGTGTAGAAATTAAAACGGACGTGTGTTAATAGGGAAACAGCCGGCGAGCTGTTTGCGCCGTGAGCGGTTCTGGTTCTGTTTGGGCCGCAGCCGCTCGCAGCGTTATTCTCCTAGTTTTTGTCTGGTTTGCAGGCTAGCAGATTCTCGCACGAGGGGAAAATCGGCTCAGGTTGTTTACTTATTTTTTGCACAGACATTTGTTTACTGTGAAGTAAAGTTGAAGTGCTGAAGTTTTGCAAACTAATTTTGAATAAAACTTGAAGAATAACTGGCAATTGCTTGCTCATTTTAAGAGGTCTTTTATAATTATAACATGCTATTTGATATCAAATCACTTTTATTGTCACGTCACATGTGCAGGTACACTGGTACAGTACGTGCGAGTGAAATTCTTGTGTGCGAGCTTCACAGCAACAGAGTTGTGCAAAAATACAGTAATGTAAAAACAAGTAAAATATAAAAATGGCTAATCTAAGTATACAAATGAATAAAGTAAACAATAAGATAAGAGATATAAAATGTACAGAGGTTGGTATGTGCAAAACAGTGGCATTAATGTACAGTATGGAGTGTGTAATGTTGGAACTTGGTGGAGCTCGCGACGAGGCAGCCATACTCGGCGCCATCTTGGCTCATCAATATATGATATAATGGTTTACAAACACAAAAGGGTAATTTATTAGAGTACTCGATTAATCGAAAAAAAGATTCGATAGAGTACTCGATTACAAAAATATTCGATAGCTGCAGCCCTACTGCAAACTAGTAACATAAATTAGGTTATAGTCACAAGCCCATGACTTTTCCCTGAATGCTTATTTAGAGCAGCTGATTTTTAAAGTTAGCAGAGTTCATCTTTGGTAGTGGGTTCACTCACTCATTTAAAGATATCGGCCAGAGGCAAAATTTGTTTGAACAGCATGTGTAAATATGTATTCAAATCTCAGATGAAAAAGGTTTTTGGATTTTGACGGCTGGAATTGTAAGAAAATCTGATGTTTGTGACCGGCGCGGGAAAAACAGAAACTAACTTCCGGTCTAAGCCCTGGGCAGCTGGTGACGTTTCACATGGAGCTCTGCTGAAACAGCTGTAGTAAACAACGCCTGGCTCCGCTGTTTCTGCGTTAGCGTTATAGCAGAGAACAATGTGTCATCAATCAGATGTAGCTTCTGAAGCCTCTACTAGTCCATCAGATTTGTTTTTTCTCTGGGATACGGCGACGAGAACGGCTATTAGGTTACTGGAGAAGTTCAACCGAACTGCGACCCCGCCAGCTGGATATCACTACCAGAGGTGCAGACATGTTTTAGACCATTTGACTCAGAAGACCTGCGACCTGATTTGGACATAGAGGAGGATTCTGTTCATCTTGAGAACCAAAATCGGTACAGTTTGTTTACTTTTCTTAAATATTTCATTTCTGTGCTCCACTGGGAGCTCTAAGCTGACAAGTTTTCAGCTGGTTTTAGCTCCATCACGTGTCCCAATATAGTTCAGTAATCTACAGTTTTACTGCTGTGTGTATTTATTGATATAACTGGGAAATATTTAACCAACAATTTACCAGAATAAATCTTCCTGATGCTGGAGTAACTCCCTAGCTCAATTCGTTGTTTGCACTAATCCAGGATGTCATGGAGGTTCTAATGTTGAAATATAGAGATCATCTTTTAGATTATCTCTCTCTCTCTCTGTGTGTGTGTGTGTGTGTGTGTGTGTGTGTGAGTGTGTTTGTGTGCGTGTGTGTGTGTGTGTGTGTGTGTGTGTGTGTGTGTGTGTGTGTGTGTGTGTGTGTGTGAGTGAGTGAGTGAGTGAGTGAGTGAGTGAGTGAGTGAGTGTGTGTGAGTGTGTGTGAGTGTGTGTGTGTGTGTGTCGCTTTCCCTAAGGACTTGTTCTTTCCTTACCGGAGCGAAAACGGTTAGTTTTGCTGCAGTCATGCTAACGGGACTCGTCTGGAGTCCAGAAGTAGCGGTGCGGTTCTAGATGGATTTATAGATGTAGGTTATTATTTTAGATCAGACCTGTTATTTAAAAATGCGTGTAGGACACAGACACATGGCTCAGACCTTTTGCTGCAGCTGTAAACGCAATTTTATGTAATAATTAGGAGCATCAAAGTAAACAAATAACAGTAATTCACAATATTAGCATCAGCAGCTAGCTTGTTTTACGTGCTGGAGTGACGTATGCGAAACACAGTTCTTCACTGTCTGGAGGAGAGGATTTGGATTTTCTGTAATGATTTATGACAAAAGTCCTTAATAAAATAAAAAACTGGACCCAGTACATGTTTATATAGATAATAAAGTGTAGTTATTTTGCATTTCTACAATTTTAATGCCGAGCCAATACCTTTAACCCTTCACCACTGAAACCAGTTTGTTCATCCCAATCCTCCTAAATAATCCTCCAATCATCCAACTGGAATCCTTAAGGGTCCCGTAACGTCCATCCTGTCAGAATAGGCCTTGGGAGCCCAGGTGTTACTAGAACTAATGGTGTCTCCTCACCAGCGTGAGCCTCCAAACTGTGAAGGTTGGTCTCCAAATATGAACTTCAAATTCATGCATTTATCTCCTCTTGTAACTCTTTAACATGTTTTAAAAGGCTTGCATCATGATAAGTTACACCTCCCAGACCAAAGATAGGTCCAATATAAGATAAAATATTATCATAAACACTGCAGAGATGTCATCATTTATGAAATACAAGTTATTTTCCTGAGCCATTACTTCAGCCAAGATATAGGATGCATGGATTTGATGAAGCCATGCTGTCTTATGCAGTCCCACACACACACACACACACACACACACACACACACACAGCAGCAGCATGTTAGAATCATTTGAATGACTAATTTAACTACACTGAACTGCTTTAGTAATAATTTAATCTCTTATTCTGGACTAAAATAAAGAAACAAGCTAAATCATCAACATATCTGTGGCATCAAGGAGCATCTTCTGAGTTCAAACACAGGGATGGAGCACAATGTTTACACCTGAACAGTATCAGGATTAACTCACAGAGGCCTGCAGGTCTTCTGTTTTATGAGCAGAGCGCTGATAATCGGCTTCTTAGGAGCGCTAAACGTTATTTTGCCGCTTCCGTGCGCGGTGAGGAAACACATTTCAAACACGGAACCGAGTCTGGTTGCCGAACCGAGCAGAATTCTGATGACGTCACACCGGTGCGCGAAGGTGCGGGTTCCAACCCACAGGAGAGGAGGGAGAGAGGAGGTCAACAGCGAGTGGATCAGAGGGACTGAACTGATGTTTTTGAGCAAAACTGCGGTAAAAATGGCTGTTTGTCCTCATCATAAAGCGTGTAGCCGCCGCCCCCCCCCCTCCCCCCGGTTTAGACGTGGCGCTCATGCAGGTGTCTCTTTCTGTTCAGACGCTGCTACACGTAATATTTTTAATTTATTAAGCCTACAATTTATTTTTACTCAGTAACGGATATGGTTTAAAATGTAGCAAATTACAATTCTTTTTTAAAAACTTACTCAAGTAAAAGTAAAAGTACAGATTTTAAAAACGACTTAAAAAGTATAAATTTACAAAAAAGCTACTCAATTACAGTAAGGTGAGTACATGTAATTCGTTACTTTCCACCTCTGTCTGTTGCCTGAGGTAAAGTCTTGGCTAATGGCCAACTTTCTGCATCTGAATGAGGGAAAGACAGAGCTCATTGTTTTTCACCCCAATAGCAGGGCTGTGGGTCGTTATGTTGATCTTGGCCCTCTTTCTCCCTACTCAAAACCAGTTGTCACCAGTTTGGGGGGTGAAAATTGACGCTGGACTTAAATTTGATGCTCACATCAACTCTGTGATCCGGTCCAGTTTCTTTCACCCGAGACACCTTGCAAAAATCAAGCCTATGCTGTCAAGAGCCCACCTGGAGCGGGTACTCCATGCTTTTGTAATTTCTACGCTTGATTAGAGCTGAGGAAAATAATCAAATAATCGATGCATCGGGATGCGGACATAAACGATTCTGCATCGTAGAAGAGTACGCCATAATCGGATTATAGTGGAATGTAGTTTTGTTTTTTTAACGGCGGCACCAGCGCAGCATCCAAATCTGTCAGAGTGCGCGTCCTCCACATTTACAGTACCAAGTGGTTCCGCCTTAATGTGGTACTGCAGGGCTGAGCGCTAGAGTTGTAACCTGAGACCAAACCAGAACCGACTGGTTCTGTTGGATTTGGGCCGTGAATTATGTTAATTGAGTGGGTTGTCACGCGGCGCGCTCCGCTCGCTCACACAGCAACAGAGAGAGAGAGAGGGAGGATCGGAGGATGCTCCTCCAAACCGATGCTCCAAACACGCGCTATTATTTTCATAATTTAATTATTATTTCTCCTCGAAGCGCTCAGTCAGACCGAGTGTTGTCATGCTGGGAGATCCAGTCTTGGGGAGGTGGCAGGGGAGAGTGACGGCGGCTGCAGCGTAGTCTCTTTTATTTAGGGACACGGAGAAGTTAAGAGGAGAGAGAAATAGAAGATAGAAGTTCTTGTTCCACTTTATTCTTTTGTTTCATGATGATAAACTGATGTTAAATTCAGCTTAAAGAGAAACTGGGAGGAAGCTTTGGTTCATTTTAAGTTACAGGAGGTCTTGTGTCCTATCTGCTCCTCCAGAGACAGCATGGACATGAGGGTCCCACAGGACAGGTTAGTGGAAAGGTTTGTAGTTAGCTGGCTAGTGAAGGAGATCCATCAACTGGGTAATTTAATCCTAATCCAGCCCACAGCTGTCTGCTGGTGTTATTATCAGAAATAATAAAACACATCTTAAATATTATTGGAAGTGTAGAATTTGTTTTATGTTTTATTATTTTCTGCATCAAACAGAACTTGATTCATTCTCCAACATTTCAGAAACGAGCCACTGGGTTCAAATAAAACAACAAACTAAGTCAAACTTTTCATTTGGTGTTACTTCTGACACCCTTCAACTGTGGCATAAAAATTTGACTCTAGAGCTGCTCAGAGACATTAAACACTCATATATGAACACATTATGTATTTTATTATTACATTATGTGTCCTGTAGGTTTTCAGTACTTTTTTTAGATTTTGTGAGTTTCTGCAAAGCGTGCTTTTTTCAGCCTGAGGCGTGGTGTTGAACGAGGAAGCAGATTGTTTTACTTTGTTAAATCTTAAATGTTTAAAATGTTTTGTCCTAACCTGTTGTGAATGGAGAGCTTTTCAGGGATGGCAGGTTGTGTCAATTACGTTTTTGATAAAAAATAAATAAATAAGTAAAAAGCAATTATCTGACGTCTTCTATTTATCGATGAAAACAAATCAATATGAAATAATCGTGATGCATCGGGATATCGAATCGAATTGAATCGGGAGACAAGTGAAGATTCACCCCTCTAGGCTTGACTACTGCAACTCTCTATATGCAGGGTTGTGTCAGTCATCACTGCGTCGCCTACAGGTTGTGCAGAACAGCGCAGCCAGGTTCCTGACTGGGACCAGGAAACGGGACCACATCAGTCCGGTTCTGGCCTCCCTGCACTGGCTTCCGGTTTATCGTTCACACTTCAAACTCCTCGTCTTTGTTTACAATTTCTTCCAGGGTGGTGGTCCCCCCTATCTAGCCACATCACGCGCTCTGCGCTCCTCTGACAAAGGCCTGCTCGTTGTCCCTTGTTCTAGGTGTCGTACTCGTGGGGACCGGGCTTTCTCAGTCCTAGCACCGTCACTCTGGAACCAGTTGCCACCCTCAGTTAGGCTGTCCCCATCTCTGCCAGTCTTTAAGAGTCACCTAAAAACACACCTCCTCCGCTTGGCGTTTCCAGAACATGTTTGAATTTGGCACTCTTTTATGTTGATTTTATTTCCCTGTTTTCATTGGTCCCTTTATCCCTTGTTTTACCCATTTGTCTTCTACATTAATGTTTTACATTTTTTTGTAATATTTGAATTGCTTTTATTTTCGATTTATTCATCATATTTAACTTTTCTCATGTACCGTGTTCAGCGCCTTGGGCTTCTCGACAGGGTCGCGAAGGCGCTTTATAAATAAAGCTTGGATTGATTGAGGTTTTTGGGCAGATATAAAACTTCCTAAAAGTTTAAGTCCTAACCAAACTATCGTGTGTGTGTGTGTGTGTGTGTGTGTGTGTGTGTGTGTGTGTGTGTGTGTGTGTGTGTGTGTGTGTGTGTGTGTGTGTGTGTGTGTGTGTGTGTGTGTGTGTGTGTGTGTGTGTTCTACCTACAGAACATGGGCACAAACCATCCCGGGACGTGTGGAGTTTTTCTCCAGTGAGGGCTCTGACACTTCCATTCCTATTCCCATTGTGTCTCTGAAGAATGTGGATGACTCCTATCCTCCTCAGAAGAAGTCTTTCATGATGCTGAAGTACATGCATGACCATTACTTGGACAAGTATGAGTGGTTCATGAGGGCAGATGATGACGTCTACATAAAGAGTGAGAAGCTGGAGAGCTTCTTGCGAAGCCTGAACAGCAGCGAGGCCATCTTCTTGGGCCAGACGGGAATGGGGGCTCGGGATGAGCTTGGGAAACTGGCTTTGGAGCCTGGAGAGAATTTCTGTATGGGAGGTCCAGGCGTCATCATGAGCCGGGAGGTCCTCAGGAGGATGGTACCCCACATTCGCGAGTGTTTACAGGAGATGTACACCACTCATGAAGATGTGGAGGTGGGGCGGTGTGTGAGGAGATTTGCTAGGGTCCAGTGTGTCTGGTCATATGAGGTGAGAACTTTATCTTCATTCAGTCTTTAAGCTACTTGGTCCAGACCTGGGCAGACTGACGGTGCCTGGGTGAGCTGGACTGGTTTAGGGTTAATGGATGTGTTCAGTATGTGAGAATAAGAAGGTAGAGCAAAAGTACTGGACTATAGATCAGGGGTAATCAAGGGGTATATGCAGCGAGGCCAGCTTTTACAGTTTAACCAGTGTCAATAATAACCATGAGGGGAAGTGGTCAAGAGGATTTTAAGACATCCCCATCAGTACAATGAATAAATGAATCAGTTGGAACCACTGACATTTAAAAATATGGACATAGCCTGCCCATTGCTCTGCCAGGGGGCAAGTTGAAGCCAGAAACTGGAGGGTTCCCACCACTGATATTTTTACAGAGTCACGCCCAGACAATCCAAAAATGGGAAAAGAGATGGAGCTGAGGTTGGGGCTGTTACGTTTAGAACAGGGTTGGAACAAATGTAATCAATGTAGCTACTAGCTACCTTAGCTAACCCAAGAAGCTAAGAAGGGCTCCAGGGAGTGTGGCAGCCCACTCGCATGACCGACTGGCTCCCGTGTGAGGCTGTAGTCATGCTGGTTGCCTGTGGAGATCTAATATGGACTGGGACTGTTAAATTACAAGCAGAGCCAGACCGCTGCGACTGGGAGCCCTGGCCTTTGAATCAGCTCATTCACCACGGACATTAGTTACGTGCTCACCTGAAGCTAATGGAGTTTCCTGTTTTTCTTGCTAAAAATCCCTGAAAAAACGTTAACTTTGGGTTAGCATGTTGTCCTGCTTATCTCCAGCCGTGGAGAATGATCTGATCAGAAAGGCCAGGGCTCCCAGCCACGTCCAAGCTAGGTCCTGTCTTTCTTGCCTCTGATTATTAAAGCGCTAAACCCCCCAAAACAGCTTTCTGTTTGTGGCGATGGCAGGAAAACAGTCTGCACTTAGCATGGGAAGATGGTTTGCTGCGTGTCAGCTACCACTGGAAAATGGGAACAGCCAGCCGACTGCGCTAGCAACTCGTCTCGGGCAGGAGACAGAAGATGGGCGTCCTCTCATATTTCTTATCCAGTTAAATGACACAGCATTCCCCCCTTCAACCAGCAAAATAAAGTACAGAAATATAATTTTACTTACTGATAAAAGGAAGCAGTAACATGTATAAAAAGGTTCAATCTGTTAGCCATCAAAGTTGCATGTAATTTATAATCTGAATTTAGTTCTGAAATGGGTCTAAAATGGCGCTTACACATTAGGGTCAGTACAGGTCTAGTCTATTCATGTTCAAGACACAAAGGCTCAGAGTAACACGTGGTTTCCATCAGGATTGTCAGGCTAGTGAGTCTGAAGGAGTGATGTAACAATGACCATTAAGAAGTTGCATTAATATAGCAAGAAGGGTAGTGGTGAGTACGAATATTAATTATCGTGAAGCCACTGAGGGGGCTCAAGCTCTAACGCCAAACCTCCTCATGTCTCCACAGATGCAGCAGCTTTTCTATGAGAACTATGAACCTAATAAGAAGGGTTACATACGAGAGCTCCACAACAGCAAGATCCACCGAGCCATCACTCTGCACCCCAACAAGAACCCCCCCTACCAATATCGTCTGCACAGCTACATGCTTAACCGAAAGATTGCAGACCTGCGCCACCGAACAATTCAGCTCCACAGAGAAATTGTTCAGATGGGCCGTTATAGTGCAGCTGAGCCCAGTCGAGAGGATCTCCAGCTAGGCATTCCTCCTTCCTTCATGCGCTTTCATCCTCATCAGCGGGAGGATGTTCTGGAGTGGGAGTTTCTGACAGGCAGGTATCTCTTTTCATCGTCTGATAGTCAGCCACCTCGCCGTGGGATGGACTCCTCTCAGAGGCAGGCTCTAGACGACATCATTATGCAAGTGATGGAGATGATTAATTCCAATGCCAAGACACGGGGACGAGTCATTGATTTCAAAGAGATCCAGTATGGCTACCGAAGGCTCAATCCATTGTATGGAGCAGAATATGTTCTGGATCTGCTGCTGCTGTACAAAAAGCACAAAGGAAAGACCATGACTGTTCCTGTGAGGAGACACGCTTACTTACAGCAGACCTTCAGCCAGATCCAGTTCAGAGAGGAGGAGGAGATGGATGCCGGGGCTCTGGCTAGCCACATTAATAAGGAATCTGACTCCCTTTCGTTCCTGTCCAACTCCCTCAAAATGCTGGTGCCCTTTAAACTAGCCAACTCTGGACAGGAACAAAGGGAGCCAAAGGAGGACAAAATCAACATTCTGGTGCCGCTATCAGGGCGCTATGACATCTTTGTGCGCTTCATGGCAAACTTTGAGCGGGTGTGTTTGATCCCCAATCTAAATGTCAAACTAATAATCCTGCTCTTCAGCACAGACAACAACACCGAGCGGGTCAAGCAGGTTGAGTTGATGAGGGAGTACCACATGAAGTATCCTCGGGCTGAGATGGAGATCAAGCCTGTCTCAGGCTCCTTCTCCAGGGCTCTAGCTTTGGAGGTGGGCTCCCTGCACTTCTCCAATGAGTCGTTGCTTTTTTATTGTGACGTGGATCTGCTCTTCTCCAGTGACTTTCTCAAACGATGTCGGACCAATGCTGCTTTTGGGGAGCAGGCTTACTTTCCCATCATCTTCAGTCAGTACGACCCCAAAGTGGTGTACTCTGGGAAGGTCCCAAGTAACAACCAGTATGTCTTCACCTCCAAGACTGGCCTATGGAGGACCTATGGTTTTGGTATTGTCTGTGTGTACAAAGGAGACTTGGTTCGAGCAGGAGGGTTTGATACCTCGATACAGGGGTGGGGCTTGGAGGATGTGGACCTTTACAACAAATTTGTCCAGTCAGGAGTTAAGTTGTTCCGAAGTACAGACACTGGGATAGTGCACGTCCACCACCTGGTCATATGTGATCCTAACCTTGAGGCCAAGCAGTACAAGATGTGCCTCGGCTCCAAAGCTTCCTCATACGGTTCCACTCAGCAGCTGGCTGAACTCTGGCTAGAGAAGAACAACCACAGCTTCAGGAGACTGTCCAACAATAATGGCTCTGTTAGGACAGCATGAGTAAAGCAGCAGAAGAACTAGGATGTCATCAATGCAAAGTGTCTGTTCCTTTTTCTGGGTGTGATTTCACGTCTTTATTTATTTTTCACTAGAATATTTCAGATTGTTATAATGGAGCCTTTGTTCATGAACCCGCCACATGAAACGTCATAATGATGAACAGCTTGGACCTAACGTCGTTTTTCAGTAAACAGATATTTGTGGTGTATGCAAGAGCTCCTTCAGCTGTCCAGTGCTTCTGTGTATCTCATCTAATGGTTGCTGTTACACTGTTTGCTTTTTTAATTTAGTTTCTCTTTGTTCTGCTGATTTGACGTCCTTGAGATCTGCTTTTAATTGTTTTCTAATTTATTTAAATTTCAAGCTCCATTTTCTACTTGTATTGTTTTAATACATATATTGAAATGCTTTTATAATCTAGATTTTAATCAGTTTTATCTACTTGATCCCAAACGTGGCGTCACCAAAGATGTCTGCTGTCAGCTGGTGGTGTTTGCGCGTGCATGGGTGTGTTTGGACAGTGTTTCCAGGCGTAGAGCCCCGGGGAGGTGCTGTTTGTTCTAAATCACGTATTGCTGGTTGTCTTTATTATAAAATGTTTATCTTGTTGAAATCAAACTGCTGTGGCTGATGGCCGTCTGCTGAGGAGGGCTACAGCTCCAGTTCTATTGACCTAAGAATAAAAAAGCCTGCATGGTTTTATCCGGTTTCACCGGTTTTGTGAGTCTGTCTTCTCACCTGTGCATTGCTGCTCTCGGTTTCAGTCAGCTCGTTCCAGTTTGAAGACCCATGATGCTGTTGTTAAAAGTATTCCACCCAAAATTAAAACAGTCTGTTGACAAACAATACAGTAGCTCGTCACGACCAGGATATGAATGACTGATATAGTTGGGGTGGGGGGTCTAGAAGGCACTATTTAAAATACAGGCCATTTACCATTTATTTATTCAATTAAAAGGTTCAGTGCAGTTCCAAAGACACCTGCTTCCATAAACTCAAATGCACACACCGTTAGTGAACAGTCATAAAACAAAGGATAACAGCGAAAAACAAAGTTAGAAAATTGCTTAAGAAATCTTGAAACGGGCCTGCCTGGCAGAAGATAGTGGCCATGTGCAATAGACCAATGTACACCGCCACCACGTCATCTGCACCTCAAACCCTCTTAATGTCCTAAGCTTGCTAATAAATTGGCATGCCACCAGTGGGTGGTGTAATGCTTGATCCTCAATAAAACAGTCAGTGCTCTGCTGAGCTCCCACTATCGGTGTACCAACATATTCTCAATCCCAGCGCGTCGAAAACAAACGCTTGGTCAGCCACCCTCCGCATCAGACCCCTGATGCCAAAAGTGCCCTTTTTCGTCACTTATATGCAAAAAGTTTTTTTTTCCCTTTTCTGCCTGCAGATCTCAATGCAGTGTAAAACTGACGTGATGGGATGTCCGCAGCCAGGGCACCAAACAAGCTTATTGTACCTCACCCTAACCTTATCCTCTTGTTATTTAACCTTCCCCTCACCCCTATCCTAACCTTAGCCATCTTGCTAGCGAACATGTTAGTGATGTGTCGGTCGCTCTAAAAGCCGGCTCTATGAAGTGAACGAAGGGAGCCGCCTCGTCATTGGTCGGGTTTGGACCGAGGCAACGCGAGGGGGAGGTTTCAACTACCAAGGTGGAGGTTAAAAGTAGAGGGTATTTGTAACCTCCCCCTCGCCAGATGGTATGTTCTAACGTTCCCCTTGGGCGGCAAATACGAAAATTCACAGTCATAATGCAGTGAGAGTAACGTTTTAGGTAGCAAGAGGGTTAAGGTTAGGGTGAGGGGAAGGGGAAGGTTATAAATAGTAAAACGTCAAGGTATAGGTGCGGTTAAATGAGCTGGTTCGGTGCTGCATCAGCGGACATCCCATCACGTCAGTTTTACGCTGCATTGGGATCTGCATTCAGAAACGGGAAAAAACCCTTTTCGCACATAAGTGACGAAAAAGGGCACTTTTGGCATCAGGGGTCTGACGCGGAGGGTGGCTGACCAAGCGTTTGTTTTTGATGTGCTGGGAGTGAGAACTTGTTGGGTGTACAAGTCAAGACCATGATCCGGTGCTTTTGGAGGCCTCTGGAGAACCTCCAAACCCCTGGTTCCGATTTTAGCCAAGGTCTGGTGTTCAGGGGTAGATCTAAAGGTCAAGACCACAAACTGGGTTTGTTGGAGGCCTCTGGAGGACCCACAGACCTTAGGTCCGAATTTTGGCCCAGGTCAGTGTTCAAGGGTGGATCTAAAGGAAAGGACCACAATCCAGGTCTTTCAAAGGTGTCTGGAGGACTGCCAGACCACAGGTCCGGATTTTGGCCCAGGTTGGTGTTCAAGGGTGGATCTACAAGTCAGGACCATGATCTGAGGATTTTGTAGGTCTCTGAATGACCCCCAGAGCTGAGGTCCTGATTTTGGCCAAGGTTGGGTGTTCAGGGGTGGATCTACAGGTTGTAATGTGATGTAAGTGGTTACTTTTAATAAGTGATCAATAAGGTGATATTCTGTATAAATATGAATTATCAGTTTTTCTTTTTCATCTAAGAGGAAACCAGGTCTTTTTGGTAGTTCAGGGAAATCACACCTTAATAAATTCAGACGAGAAAAAATATAGTTCATAAAAATCAATTTAACACTATTTTTCTAAACTAATGATGACAGAAATAATTATGATGAATGATGGTTGAAACAAGATAACTGAGACAATGGATGAGATGATGGAATGTAAGCCTAGTGTTCAATTCAAAAATACTTTATTAATCCCAGAGGGAAATTGATTGCTGTAGCAGCTCAGAATAATAATAATAATCAAGTCATCAAAGGGTTATTGTATATTACAATGGCTGTTGGCAGGAAGGATCTCCAGTAGCGGTCAGTGTTGCAGCCAAACTGAAGAAGCCTCTGACTGAAGACACTCTTCCGTTGTCGGACAGTCTTGTGAAGAGAATGCTCAGGGTTGTCCATCATTTTCTTGATTCTCTGGAGAATCCTTCTTTGCATGATCTCCTCCAGCGGTTCCACAGTCGTCCCCAGAACAGAACCAGCCTTTTTTATTAGGCTGTTGAGCCTTTTCAGGTCCCTGCTTCTGATTCTGCTACCCCAACAGATGATGGCTGAAGAGATTACACTCTCAACAACAGACTTGTAGAAGATCTGCAGCATGTTATGTAGCAAAACCTGATTAAGTGTATTAGAAACTTGTGATGTCAGAGTTATAAAATGAGTCTGACTGTATGGTTTAACAAATTATCAACAGTGTTGGGCAAGTTACTTCAAAACTGTAATACATTAATTATTACTTGTTACCCTCATTTTAAAGTAATTCATTACATTACAATATTACTGATTTTAAAATGTAAGGCATTACACTACTTTTGCATTACTCTAAGTTACTTTCAACCAAACAACTTCAGTATGAGTTTGGTAATCTGATGCCTGGTGAACTCATGACACATCCGGTGGAAGGTGATGTGGTGTCTGAGCTAGGATTGCTGTTAAAAACAGTTCTTTAGAAGTCAAGTCAAGTTTATTTATATAGCGCCAAATCACGACAAGAGTCGTCTCAAGGCACTTCACATAATAAACATTCCAATTCACAGTTCATTAAGCCAATCAGAAATAATGTTTCCTATATAAGAAACCCAGCAAATTGCATCAAGTCACTGGCTAGTGTCAGTGACTATACAGCAATCCTCATACTAAGCAAGCATGCAGCGACAGTGGAGAGGAAAACTCCCTTTTAACAGGAAGAAACCTCCAGAGAATCCTGGCTCAGTATAAGCAGCCATCCTCCACGACTCACTGGGGATCGAGAAGACAGAGCAGGCAGACAAAGACACACACACACACACACACACACACACACACACACACACACACACACACACACACACACACACACACACACACACACAAGTAATGTGTCTATAGTTATATTGTGATGTCTTAGTAAATATTGTATTTGGTGAAAGATAAACTTTATTGTATTTATCCTAGCGGATCTATAATTGTTTATGAAATAAAAGCAACAACAATCTGTAATCTCAACATGCTGCCATCTTAGATTAACTGAGCAGGGAGTGAGGTGGTGGGGGCTCCAAGCCTATATTTTTCCTTGGTCCCCAAATGCCTTGATACGGCCCTGGATGTGGGACTGGCTTCTGGGGTGATCTGAATCTATCACATGTATAAATATTAAATGCTTATATATTATTGCTTTTCACTGGTAAAAATGTGTATTGGGGATAAATCTACCTACTTTTTTCTTTTCAAGCACTTTGTTTTGTTTTCTTGATTTTATTTGAATAATTTCCTGCCCTTTCTCTCTCTAACCTTCCTGCATGCTGCATGTTTTTCTCCGTTTCCTAGACTTCCTACTTTCTAACTATCAGCCAAAGGAATCTTCACATGCGTGGCGCTCCAGCAGTAATGAGTTAAAATCACCGGGGCCCAGATTAACTCAGCTGAGGCAAAGCACGTCAGAAAAGTACAGAATACCAGAGAACATGCGCTGATATGAACGATCGCAGGTGAATTATTTTGTTTTAGTGGAGCGATTTTGTGAATGTTGCATCGGCCGCGTGGAGGACGCAGCTGGAGTATTTGAGCCGGGTGCAGAACAGAACACCGGTACCGCTGCATCCTCTTTGCCTGCAAAGCTGAGTCCATAAATGACGTAATATATGCAGATACTGGATCTTTCTTCGGGTTTCCCGCAATTTGAATTTTTAAGAAACGCATCTTGATTCTGGGTTTAAAATGCATTGTAATTACTGCGTTACTGACAATTGTACTGAGTAAATATTACCATTTTTCCCCTGTAATGCCTTACATTACCACATTACAACAAAAAGCAATGCATTACAGTAATTAATTACTTCTGTACCGCATTACTCCCAACACTATCAATTAATAAAACCATCCCACTCCAGTGGTGCAGAATCTATGAACCCTTGTGGTAAAGGCTCCCGGCGATCCAGGGGCCGGAGAAGTCGCTACAGACAGGCTGCAGATGGAGTTGACTTCTGGACTGGGATACCCTCAGGGTGAATGCTGGTCGTCAGATGAAGTTTGCATCTGATGCATCTTTGCATGGTTGCAAAGTTTTAGCCTTGAGGTCAAAGGAGGATGGTTCAACCCTTACTTGCTCGGTTTGGCCAGGCCGAGCAGATGGCAGAACTGAAGAGTTCAAGAAGTGAACTCTCTTTTATGGCCTATTGTTTATCAATTTGGACAAATCAGAATTAGACAAGTGAAAGTGGGTTTTATCAAAGACCTCAGACACCACTCCTTTCCCAAACAGAGATGTTTTTCCCTTAATGAGGAGCAAAAATGTCCAACATTAAAGTGATTATGTGTGAATATACTGATAAACAAATCATTATTAAATTCAACAAATAGACTAATCTGGTGTAATTTAAGATCTGGAATTAATCATTATAGGAATGAACATTTGTTAACTATCTATTACTGTAGAGCATTTACCATCTTATAACACTTTAGATTTAAAAACATATTGTAGGTACCACAGAATGATTGTAATAAGTAAATAACACATGAAAAATTATTGCAAATAAAGTCCAATTACAACGGTTATTTATGTGCTAACCACCATCTGTGGCACCGTGCAGGTCATGAAAACCCATCGATGACCGTAGTGCAACATGCCGTGAT